GTATCGTTAAAAATTATTTTTTTATTTTGTACAAACAAAATAAATATATTGAAAAATATAAAAATAATAAAAAATTATAGTTCAGATGTTAATTTAGTATCAAAAACGTAAAATATTTGAGTAGCCCAAGACATAGCCAAAGATTGAAGCGCCACAGCACTGGCAAAAATTTAAATTTGCCGACTGGAATTCTTTCGGATGATTGACTTTCGGAAAATTGACGCTCTACTGTATATGCAAAATTATACCATGACTTACGCAAATTTGACTTACGTGGTTATTGCTCAGTCCCACCTATCATATAAGTTCAGGGTATTACTGTATCCTAAAGTGCTTCCAACATTTGGAAGTTATAAATGTTTTGCATCTTTTGTATTATATGCTGAGATACTCAAACTACTCTGGAAAGATTTTTGTTAAAACAAAATAATAATAAATCATTACAAAATGTTAAATCACTTTCCTGTTATGAGTTTCATTTTCCTATATTTTCTGGGAATTTTCAATAAACCACTGCCCACCTCACTGCCATCCTCTCTGAATGAATGGCAACAGTTAAATGGGACTGACTGTACTTATATATAAAACTAATTGACTGTTCTATGCATAAAATACCTTTTCATTTATATTTGTTATGGCAACTTGAACAACCGTAGTAATTAGTTTAATATACTCTTGTTCTCTGTCTTTTTTCTCCAACACCTGACTGCTATACAGAAACATCCAATGAGAAAAAGCCTTGAGAGTTGCCAGTACTTGTGCGTGACTGTTATTGGAAAATAGCAAAATTAAAATTATCCTTCAATGGATGCATCCTATATAAGTGAAGAACTTACACTTCAATAAAATCAGGCTTCAGAACAGATGGTACTGCTGTTTTCATGTCATACGGTCTCAATCTATTGCTGTAAACTGCACTTTCACACAATCTATGATTAAATACTAATGTTAAAAACTCTTAATGAAATTGAAATATACAAGTTTAATTTCTAGATTACCTGGTAACTGTTGTCTCGGCCGTTACAAACCGTTCCTCAAACACATTTCCAATGAAGTGATATTCTAGTCTTCCCAATCCTTGCAGGAGTGAAGAAAGATCTCTCAGACTGCAGTGTAACCTCCTGCACTCATTTTCTGCTGTTATCTGCAAACTGTGAATACTCCCACAGTTATTTTGTACATATCTCTCTAGACCTAGATAGATTTCTTGATTTTCATTGAATATTGAATACTGAAATAACAAAATAAAATTATTATAATGATGATAATAGAAAATGTATTTTAGTTTTTATGAAAGTATTCTGCAAAGTTTATTTATAATTACAGTTTACATATTAATTAACTATGTATACTTAAAAAATAAAAAGGGCATTAAAATTTCAATATTAAAAAAAATTACTATAAAAAATGTAAACACACTGTTTCTTGCAAAATTACTGCACATCTTAAATATTAATACATTCAATTAAATGTGCTAAATGGCAGAAATTTATGATCTAAATACTGACAAAATTTATATCAGAATCAAATTTATAATTAAAAAAAAGAGAGAAAAGAAACAAATTGTGTACTTTTTTGGCTCAAGTTTTTAATAAAATATTGTATGTCTTAATAACATATAAACAATAATTTAAGTAAATTCTGCTGATATAGAATTTTTAAGTCATTACTACTTATTTTGTCAGTTAAAATTTCTACTTCTTTCTGGGCATAGATATTATGTTTTTTATTTTTAATGCAAACATTTAAGAAAATCTTTATCACCAAAAATATTCCAAGATACATTTAATAATTTGCAGTAAAGATAAATTAAAAAAATGGTTTGTAAAATGATGATTCACTTGTGTCATATACAAAAATTTGGATTTTGTAGTAAAAATACTGTTATCAGTAAGATGTATAGAAAAACTTACCAATAGAGTAAAAACTTCAGCAGGTAATAAATCAGCAACTCTTGCTATGGTATTTAGACACTG